TTGTTCTTCTAAATACGCCAATGTTATTTGTGTTTCCTGTCTTTAAGATCGGTCATTTGATTTTGTACAAAATGACTATTCAATTTCATGACTTAAAGTTGGTTCGTTTAAAGGGTTTGCTAATTAACGTTTGGAGTATGGACAACATTGGTTGGCCATCTTCATTTATTGTAAACAGCAGGTTGGTAGGAATCTTCTGTTAAAAAAACAACTAACGCCTCTTCTATTCTAAAATAAAAATTTGGAAATAAACAAAAAAATATATATAGCGAAGATCTCTTTAACTAAGAATATCACAACAGAATGTAATCATTGCAATGATGCATTAAAAATCACATTTTAGTTGCTACTTTGGAAGTTTGAACCTGATGGTAAATATTCCGTCATAAAGCTTTTCATTTATTAAAATCATTGTTAACATTTTAAAGAAGAAAAAAACTGTTATAAATTACCTTTACAATTGGACACAACATCACTTAAACCGAGATCGATAAGAAAGTCCTTTAAATCCATTTTTTACAGGTACTTCACTACTTCACAACATAAAACTAAAACTAATGATGCTTACGCGAGGGCGTGAAATAAGTAAATAACGTATTTTAGGGCATATTTAGCAAATTTTACAAAATATATTTATTAATAAAAAATGATTTATTATTTTTTACTTAACACAGCTTTATTGTAAACAAAACGTGTAACATTTAATAAAGAAAACATATTCAACAATAAACATGTATTTCTTACAAATGCATTATTTATTAATTAAAATTGTATCATTTGTTTTATGGAAGTTGGACAAAATATATTTATTTATTTAAAAATATGATTTATTTTTAATTAATAGATATATCTATGTTTTAAATGTATTAATCCGTTTGGTTTTTATAAAGAAATATTTATTTCTTTTAAGCAAACTCATTAAAACAATTGGCATATTAAATAAAAATATATTAATTTTGCCGTATTGAAATAATAAACAAATATTTGTTATTCAGAAACAATATTTTTTAATTATAACTGAAAACTACCAAATATATGATTTGTTTATTATAATAGTATGATTTCTCTCAGTGTATAATAGAACAATGTTATTTTGTAAATAAAAACTTGCAACTGTCCCATCCGTTATGCGTGGAATAGCCGAATGTATGTTTTTTTGCTGTTATTTTATAAATGACTAAACTTACAGGAAAAATGTATATATACCTTTGGGAAATTACATTTTTTCACAAAAACATTGTTACGCATTTACTATCTGAATTGTCGAGCATGTGGAAAAGTCCAAATTTCCGCACGCTTGTAGATAAATAAATTAAAAGTAATTATTTATTATTGCTTGTTAAATTAGAAGCAATTTAAATATATATATATATATATATATATACCGGGTGTATCTGAGAATAGGCGCACCCCTGTAACTTTTTAAAATGACTTTTTATTCAAATTTCACACAGTATAAAATATTTCGGTGTAAAGTTACCAAATGGAGTGGTAAGATCATTTGGTGTTAATATATAAACTAAAATTGGTCAAAAATATTAAGTGTTTATTTTTAAATTGTGGTAAAATTCATTCGTGTTAATTTAAATTTATTTATCACAGCACCGTGTCAATCTAGTGTTAATTTTAACATAAACTCGTCGCGGTGTACATTTGACACTATTATGTGTTGACAGCTACACAAATTGTGGTAAAAAAGGCAGGTCATCACCATTCGCTAACGGCAAGGACGCGATCAGTATTTCGAGTGCATTTGATGGTAGTGTACCTATGCATGCTTTTTAATTTAAGACCATGGTTTTTAAATTAAAATTCAGTGGTTTGGTGAAGTGGTGCAATGTGACAGTGGATGCAATTAATCTGTTATTTTTAAGTGAAATATGTAATTTAGTAATATTTTTAGTTTTTTACCTAGTGAAAAATCATATTTAACTTATATACCTTCATAAGCTAAATATGGTTTTAAACAAACTGGAAAAAAAACTTAAAATATTACTACTTTTCATTTAATTTAAAAAAATTATTAACACTTCTTGGGTATAAGAACACTTACACCTTAGTAGTGTTAATAATTTAAATTTTATGCCAAAGCCCATTTTTATTCATATCTAATAGTTTGTAAATAATATAAAATATACTTTATTTTACATTACATGTTGTGTTTAATATTAAAACACCCACCATTTTTAACACCTACACATAACACCTACCTGTGTAGTAAATTACACCAAATTGAGCATTTTCTACTCTTGAATGGAGTTCTTTTACCATGGTATTGAAATATTATATTATATTTAATTTTCACACTGTTACTAGTTTTTTTTACGAATTGTACGTGTAGATTATTAACCAATTAAAAAAGGTAAAATTTACCAAATTGTATGTGGTAGATATACCATTTCTAGTGTGGACCTATATAGACACTTTTGGTGTTGTTTTTTTACCAGAAATTTTATACTGTGCAGCTGCAAACAAAGAATATTATATTTTAATGAAATAAATAATAATTTGTCAGCTATATTGTAACATTTTTTTAAATTTGATTTCATATTTTGAATCAGCGACGCGAAAAACATATAATCGCAATATTTTATCGTCCAGGAGTTTTGGCAAGTTTTCGACGATCAAGTTTATTCCAGCAAAAACCAGCCGTTCCACACCCATCTCGTTTCAATATTTAAGACACTTTCATACCAAATTTCATCAAAATTCGTTCAGCCTTCAAGTACTTTCAAAAATGGCGAATGCGGCGGGATTAATTATAACTTAATTTTGAAGACGTCCAATGGGATGGGATTTTGAAAAGTTTTTTATAAGCGGTTATCCATGTCATTATAGCAATGCCCTGTCAAAATGTAGGTCCAGTGGTTTAGTCTGGGGGCGTTGATGAATCAGTACAAGTAAAGAAAAACTTTAAAAAGTACATTTGAAACACGCATTTATGGCTGAATGTATTACATTTTTTACTCAGTGAATGTAATTATTAAATACATTTTTAGACATATCCCAAACAAATGAACAAATATAGTAACGATACCTCTTACTGCGGCCTTACGCATGTTGCCTAACTATATATAACGGTAGGCTGCAAATATTTAGATAGTATGTCTGGAATTTTTAATCGCTAAAAGTTAGTTGATACATAGCATTATTAAGAATATATTTTGTACAAATTAATATTTTAACTAATAGTCTTTTTAATTCAAAAATCGATGATGCAAAAAAGAAAATAATATATTATATAATCCATATTAAATTTTTACTTCATGACTAAAGGTTATGTCCAATCAATAAAATTCCTTAAAATATAATACAACAGTTACTGTCTAAAATTTAATCTATGATCGGTTTTTGATAAAATTACAATAAATAAATTTACAAAAATTAATGTAAGTAATTTATTAAGATGGACATGTAGTTTATTTAAATTTCCCGAGTTAGAAACGACAAAAATGGAGTTAAATTAAACATTACGTTTTATGTGTCGTTTAAGAAATAAAATTGTGCCTTTAAGATAAAATCTTGTATGCTATTTGGCTGAGAAGTGTCTTTTTAGCCTAATGACAAAAATAACTATTATTTCTACAAACAAGTCAATAATTATTATGGATTATGTATATCGTCAAATATGGCGAATGCGCCGGGATCACTATATCATATAATTAAATGCTATGTGCACAAGCCATTTAAAACAGAAATTAGTAATCCATATCATTTTTTCAATATCTTTTCATTCAGGCATTTATTGATAGTTGTAGTGACTCAGTACTAAAACGCGTTTGGTTATACAATTTTAATATGTAGTGTTTTTATGTTGTAAGTTGTAAAAGGAATATTAACCTAAAACAAAAGTGATTAAAAATGTTAAAGGTAATAAAGGTTTATGTGTAGGTATCTAAGGTGTAATTACAAGTTTACATTTTTTTTCACACAAAGTTTTACATTGAAAAAAACAAATTAAAATAATTAAAAATATAAAATAATAATATATTATGTATAAAGTTTGATAAAAGCCATTTTAGTCACAAATTTAATTAAATGAGGGTCTATAAAAGTGTATAAACCAGTTGCATACTATACTTTTTCCACGACAAATACTAAAAATGATTTAAATATTTGTATAGAGCGACATCTATTCAAAACTAGAGTAACCGTAAGAATGGGAACCTGTATCATTATAAATTTTAAATTTGAATGTGTTAATCGAAATGTTTCCCTTGAAAATAGATTAACAACAGTTTTTCACAGTGAAAGTGAAGAAAATGTTTTATGGGCATAATACGGTGGGGTCTCCACCTAAAATCTAGTTAACTGCCGGGGAAATTAAAAGGTCAGTACAATGTTCATATAAACTTTTCAAATATTAGCGTTGAGAAATTATTTAATACTTTTTTTATTTTGATAATAAAATTGTTTTTACATTTAGTATTATTTAACAAGATGGGCACTTTATTTTAACGATTGTATGACATTTGACAACTGTCAACTAACTTAAAACTAACTTTAGCACGTGACTAAAAACCTGTTGCTTACTTCAGCCCGTGACTAAAACGCCATAAAGCCATAACTTGTCAATGTATATACACTTAGGTCACTTAGTGTCATGAAAACATGTACAAGCGTTCTATAAATTAAACTTTATTGTCGACACTCGACAGTAAAGTAATTTATTATGGCATAGAAACATAAAAAGCAGTAAAAACTTGTATGAGGCTAGTAATAAGTTCATTTTTTTCTCGCCAGTGGCAATGGAAGCACTTTAATTGGGAAAAAGTGAGGTTAGAACTGTTTTATGATACTATACGAGGTGCAACTATAATGGTTTTTAACATTTCTATAAATTGAATGAACTGTCAAAATATTTAAAATTATATAAAACAAGAATCTAATTATGTAATTGCAATAAACAATCATTTGTGTTCAAAAAAAATTAAATACAATAATTTTATTAAAATTTCAATAACAATTTTTAAACTACAAAGAAAAAATCTTACTTAATGATGGTAAAATTTGATAAAAATAAAAGAAAAAGATAAAAAAACCTTAATTAACCATAATATTTCTTTTCAGAAAATGACATTAACAAGCCGCGGGCTGCTGCGATTTTTTATTTTCATCGTTTTATACATATTGTTCCTAGCAATAGGTGCAGTGGTATTTTCAGCCATCGAGGGACCCGAAGAAGTACAAAGCGTCCAAAGTTTAAGGGCATTTAGAACTAATTTTCTAAACAACCATCACTGCGTAACAGGTGAGTTTTTTTATTTTTATATGCTTCTAAAAATCTAGACTAGTGTGGTTTTTGTGAACCAAACTAAAACAGGTGCTGCTAAATTTGGGGTATTTATCACCACTGGTAACCAACCATCCTGATTTTTGCTAATGTGTCCTGGTTTTAAGTGTGTACTGGTTTTGTCCTGGTTTTGCAGGTTTGCTCCTGGTTTTTAGTATTTTGTTTTATTATTGACGTTATTAGTCGGGGCTCAGGTTAAAAATTAATTTAAAAGTTTAAAACTTTGAAAGTACATTTAGAAGAGTAAAAAAGTAAGAAAAAACCATGTTTAAAAATAATTATAAAAAATTATGACTTTTTCTCACTTTTTTAAGATTTGTTCTATTATTTTTTTAAAAGGTGGTCGCTGCTCAGGTTAAAAAATAATTTACAAATCTGATTTTTTGGGTGTACCTTCAGAGTAGTAAAAAAGTAAGAGTTTTTTTCAATTTTTTTAGGATTTGTTCTAATTTTTTTAGAGTGGTCGGTCTCAGTTTAAAAATTAATTTAAAAATCTTAACTTTGAAAGTACATTTAGAAGAGTAAAAAAGTAAAATAAAACCTCGTTTGAAAAATAAATTATAACAAATTATAACTTTTTCTCACTTTTTTAGGATTTGTTCTATTATTTTTTTTTTAAATAGCCGGGGCTCAGGTTAAAAATTAATTTACAAATCTGAATTTTTGGGAGTACCTTGAAGATAGTAAAAAAGTAAAAAAAACCTCGTTTGAATTTTTTTTTATAAATTATGAGTTTTTCCCACTTTTCTAGGATTTGGGCGATTCCATGATTACTAACGGGACAAAAAGAAAGAAGACAAAATGTTTTATGAATATTTTTAAAGTTGTGTTGTTTCTATTACGATAATAATACAATAATTTTATAATAGTTATTATTACTTAATTTTATTGCTGAGAACTATCATAAAATTAATATTATAGGAACAACAAATCTTCAAGATTTTCATAAAACATTTTGTTTTCTTTCTGTTGGTCCCGTTATTACTATAGTAATCAAGGAATCGCCCATTTGTTCTAATTGTTTTATTAAAAGTGGTCGGGGCTCAGGTTAAAAATTAATTTAAAAATCTGAATTTTTGGGAGTTGACGTTATTAGCACATCTTTTTCTTAAATAATAAACATTAAATAAAATAGGGCAAGGAGGGGCATGTTGTGTCCTGGTTTTTCATTTTAGAAAGTTGGTCATCGTAATCTACGATTTTTAAGAAAAAAAATAATTTGTTTTAAATTTTATTAATATATACTGTAACAGGTAAAAATAAGTAAAATATGGTATTTTTGTATCTCAATTTATATCTAGCTTTCATAGACATTTTTAACAAAGTTGTATGAGGGGTTTGGTAATCCAATTGTATGGAGAAAAAAACCTTGTTAAATTATGCGTCCACATTATTATTAATATTATATTATTTTTATATTAGATTATTTAGCAATATTCGTACCAAGTTGCCATTTCTGTTCGCCCAGAAGGTAATTTATAAACCAATAATCTCAATGTAGACCAGTGCAGAAGCCTTTAAAAATGGTAAAAAGAGAAAAAAAATAACAGTAGGATGAAACCCATTGGAAAAGGAGGGGAATATAATAAAAATTAAAGGAAAAATAAATTACGGGCGATCTGAGTTCGGTAAGTGGGAGGGGGGGGTTTTAAGGGTAAAAAATGGTTTATCTTGATTTCCGGCAAAACTACAAGTCCTATGGAAAAAAGTTAAATGTCAAAGTTGTAGGTAATAAAAAGATCTACAACTTTTGTATTTACAATTTTTTCACATAACCTCAAAATTTATGTGGAAAATTCAAAAAACCAAGTTTTTGTTTTTTATTTTTATCTTTTTCAAAAAAAAAATTTTTTCCACGATATTTGGTGAAAACTTACCTTTTTATGTCCCAAATACACTGTAATTTATTTGATTTGAAATATTTATTATTTCGCCTTATTTTGACTTAACCCCCAAAAAAGCTTTTTTCAAAAAGTCGGTGTGCTTTTTGTTCGATAAACTCTCTACTTTCTGATGGTGTAAAAAAATATATACATTACTATGGTAAATGTTCTCAGGAAATACAAAAAATATTATAATGAATAACGTAATCAGAATGAAGTATCTAAATTCAATAGTATGATTTACATGTATTTTTATATTTTATGAGATTTTCTGACATAAATGTTATTAGAATTTAATAAATAAACTTTTTAACTAAAAAAAATTGCAACAATCACATTTTTTTGATGAAATTGTACATAATGATTAAAATAAATTTTCGAATTCGAGTTTTTTTCGTTATTCATTATAATATTTTTTGCATTTTCTGAGAACATTTACCATAGTAATGTATATTTTTTTACACCATCAGAAAGTAGAGATTTCAACGAACAAAAAGCACACCGACTTTTTGAAAAAAGCTGATATTTTGACGCGAGAATTTTCGATTGAAAATTAGGGTGCTTTTTTGATATTAAGTCAAAATAAGGCGAAATAATAAATATTTCAAATCAAATAAATTACAGTGTATTTGGGGCATAAAAAGGTAAGTTTTCACCAAATTTCGTGGAAAATTTTTTTTTTAAAAAGATAAAAATAAAAAACCAAAAACTTGGTTTTTTGAATTTTTCACATAAATTTTGAGGTTATGTAAAAAAATTGTAATTAAAAAAGTTGTAGATCATTTTATTACCTACAACTTTGCCATTTAACTTTTTTCCATAGGACTTGTAGTTTTGCCGGAAATCGAGATAAACCATTTTTTACCCTTAAACCCCCCCCTCCCACTTCCCGAACTCAGATCGCCCGTAATTTATTTTTCCTTTCATTTTTATTATATTCTTCTCCTTTTCCAATGGGTTTCATCCTACTGTTATTTTTTTTGGTTTCAAAAATTAACGACCCTGGTCTAATGGTTTCAGTTTTTTTAATTTTATTTGGATCGGGTAACCAAAAGTTGTCTTTTTGGTATAGTATTTATGCTACGTACACTTGGTCAATCATTATTTTTTGTTCGCAACTCTACCGGCGAGTGTTTTTTTTTAAAAATTTAATTCGGCCAATTTTAATTTTTTTTTAATTCATCATAAAAATCCAATCAAATCTACTTTTTGCCAGCTTTTTTGGGATCGGGACCACTGTGCGGCGGGTAAAGTTTAACTTCGCCCACAAGCTGAAGTTAAAATTGGAGAAAAGTGAGGTAAAACTTGCTTGACAGCGGTCAGATTTCAGATAGAATATCAAATAAAATTGGTTTCAAATTTCTTGTGCTATGCCATAGCACATAGTTGAATATTGTGTACGAATATTGTTCAGAGAATATCAAATAAAATTGGTTTCAAATTTCTTGTGCTATGCCATAGCACATAGTTGAATATTGTGTACGACTATTGTTCAGAGATTTCACGCAGTAATTTCCGCGTGATAAATTTAAGAACATTTTTATAGTAGCAAAAATAATTAAAAAAAATTAATTAATTCATTTTAACAAACAATAATGATTTTCGCGGAATTGTGAAAAATCAAGGGACCACTTGGCGAATTTGCACTCTTAACAAAGTCAAAATATGTTATAACGCAACTTGTATTTTCAACATCTATCTTCAGGTTATATTCATAATTCCTTAAATCAATTTAATTGAAAATTGCGGTAAAGTACATATATGTACTTTACCGCAATTTTCAATTAAATATACTATACTACAATCGCGAAATTTGAAACATAATTTTAAGAACTTTATACTAAAATACGCTGTTAACGGTTTTATAGCAAGTAAAAAGATTTAAACTGTCAACGAACTAGGGTATAAAGACCGCATACGTTTTTACCTTACAAGACAAAGATGTCAATATAAAGTGAATCAAGGATTGCTAGATTTTTCTCTTGCAATACCTACCCTCACTTTCATAATAATTATACTATCGCCTTTAACTCCTTCTCACTTACTCTTAGTTCTTGCAAGATTTTCTTGTAATATTCACTTGTAAAGTGTTTTGTAATATTTCGTGAAAAGGTACAAATTTCAAAACATATAACTATCGTTTTTAGCATGGACGACGTGTAATTTGAAACTGTTAGACTTTTTGATGCAAACTTTATGCTCTTTTGTAATGTATTGGAGTATACCCCAGTTAAACTAATATTATAAATGCGAAAGTCTGTTCATGTTTATCCTTCTTTCAAGCAGCAACGAATTAAAGAATGGATCTGTTTTTTTTCATAAAGGGGTCATTTTACGTTAGATCAAACAGTGCAGTTACCACACCGACTAAGATTTTCCTTACATTTTGTGTAGTTGATATTTAGACTAGGATAACATAAAGTCTCAGTTTTGAAAGTCATACAATAATTAATAACCAAAAAATTAATTATTGAATTTTTCGCAGGATGTGCTAGTTTTTTCTTAATTTCCTAAATAACTTCTTACCTGTAAAAGTTATTAAAGTGAAAATTTTTGATTGTTGATTTTTGATTTGCCAAAAAAATTCAATTTTTAATCAGGACCACATGTTTTAAATTTTTATACTTTGTATACTTTCAGAAAAAACTTTATCTCGGCTTTTCGCCTGGGAGCTGAGAAAAAAATATCCTAGAAAAATAGTATGCAACTCGTTTATAAACTTTTCTAGACGCTCATTTAATTAAGAACTCGCTCGCAAGCTTGCTCGTGCCTAAATTAAATTCGTGACTAAAATGACGCGTATCAAACTTGATACATATAGTTGTTAATCTTTAATAATTTATTAATCTTAATTGCTTTTGGTGTTTGGAAGATATTCATACCTCGGGCAATAAACGGAACCCAAACAGAATTTATCCGAATAAACGCATTAATTTTAATTGGCGACCACCAGTAAATGACATTGATAATAGTTTATCGATTTAATGTCCTGTTTTCTACAAACCAATTTCTTGAAACTGATTTTATTTGGAAACAAATGAGTGGACAATATAGTAAATCATTTTTTGATTACAA